GTGGCTTCGCCGCAAAGTCGGAACCCGCTCGTAGACAATGACGTCGCGATTGTTCCGTTTGACAGCTCCGTCGTGGGGACTCTTGGCATTGCGGGGTACCAAGTTGCCGCGCTCGGCTTGGGCTCGCTTGTCATGTTTCATCACGTACCTCAGCGGGCGTCTGACCGGGCGTCTGACAGGTGATCAGTTTAAGAATGTAAACGATACTGAAGCGAGCATGCCTAAATGCAGAAACAGCATTGCATGCATTTTGCACAGGGTCAACGGCCCAGCCCCCAAGGCCCATTTGCGTTACGCCTACTGCATCGGGACAACATGTTCTGCACCATCAGCGCTAATTATCCAATTCGTCATAGCCGTCGTATCCGGTCCTGCTATCTCGTGCATCGTACAAAGTCGTTCGATAATCAAATCAATAATGCAATAGGATCCGCAATCCCCCGACCTTTCGAGCGTGCACCTGTCATCAAACATGTCTTGGTGCCCTCGTCATCGACTGTGCAGATATGTATCGTGGCGCACTCGTCATCGCCCGTGCATATACTGCTCGTGCATCTCCACCAGTTTCTTGATCATTTCCTCTTCGATCTCTTGCTTGCCCTCGGGTAGTCGGACCCACGACTCCTGGTATCCGGATTTTGACGTCGGGTCCTTTTCCACAAACACGACCTCAAACTTGCGCCGATTGAGGTCGTTGCCGATCACCAGCTTATGATCATACCGTTCGAGCGCCTGGCGTGCTTTGGGTATAAGCAGGTTCGGATCGGTTTCGAGCTACGCATAACGATCAGCGGCTACTCAACGGTGCTCGCAACGGACCAACCTTGAATGAAACAATAAACCCCTCTGACGCCCAGTCGTCGCGCAAGGGCTTGAGGATCTTTGGAACCTGGTCCATCTCTATTTGCAAACTCCCTTTACCAGACTGGATCTTGTGTTCTGCCTGAGCTCATTCAGTACGCATCACTCGCAGATTGGTGTAATAGTATTACCATCTTCTGAGTGGGCAGGAAGAAGTCGCTCACAGCAGCGGCAAGATAGAACATTGCGGTCCTGCCCAAGGGTTCCATTTCTTGAGCAACTGCACGCAGCATGAACAGGTAGTCATCGACCGTGACAAAGCTGAGCGTGAGCATCGTCCCCGCACGCTGCACTGCATGATATTGCCGGAGGACGGAGAGCAACTCCCTCCTCATCGAGGGCAGGACCTTGACTGTCTCACCATCGTCAGATGACCCGGGCTCGATAGGGGACATGGGGTTGGAAGGGCCGATCTCCAGGAAGTCCAGGAAGGGGTTTGTCGAGTGCGAGAAATGCCGGCTGAAGGGCTGGAGGGAGAACTGGCGGTGCATGAAGATGACCGCATAGCCAGCTTGCAGGAAATACTCTGCAGATGTTGCACCTCTAGTGCCTGACAATCGCTCAGCATCGTGCATAGACACCCGTGTATCAGCACTCACCGGCGCTGAAGTTATCCAAGAATCGGACACTGCAGAAGCATGAGATAGGGCCATCAATAGATGTCGCTATGTCACGCACACATTGCGTTCCAAGGGTACTGTGGTGCCTCCGCTCTTATCTCGCAAGTGAGCACTTCGTTCAGTGCCATCCGCACAGCACACGCACCGTCACAAGGACCACCGGCCTTCCATCCTTCTTCTGCCTCGTCACGAATGCCCGCACTTTCGCCACATCCTGATCCAGGGTAGCAGGAGCAGGTTGCATGCGGAAATACTGCTCCGCCGAGAACACGGTTGGCTGGGATGCGTTGGACATGGCGTATTCACAGCAAGAATCAGGTGGGGATGGGGCACAACAGAAGGGTATTTGTGCGTGTAGCGGTTCAGCCTTAAGGCTGACTCGGGTGTGGGCGCTGAGGATTGCTTCGGGAGACGCTCAGAAGCTCCAGCGGGCGCTTAGTCAGCCCAGGGTCTTGTCAGGGTTTGGCGCCGAACCCGGTTTGCACTTGAAGTTGTTCACACCCGCAATGTCTTTGGACTCTTTGACTTTTGAGGTCAAAGTCCTTGACGAGCCGCACGCAGCATCGATAAGACGTGTGTACATAAGCAACGATACAATCAAGGCCACGAAAATCACGACCGGGGATCTGTTATCATTGCGTGCCCCTCATGGAGTAAGTTGCTAATTCCTCCCAGCGACGACCTGTTGACCCGTATGTCAGGATGCGTTCGCAGCTGGTGTAGCATGGCCACTACTGACACTTCCGAATAATCGTGCGGCTATACTTTTGGCCCGCGTTTTACGGAACTAAATAATCGACAGATATCCAAATCTCGTCCACATTGGCTGCCACCGCTGGCCTGGTCGATGGAAACAAAGCTCGGCTTGCGACGATTAGCAGCATCGCTTCCAGCAGCAGCTTGACCCCTCCAGAAATCAAAGAGGCATCCAAGCTGCTGTGCGCTGTGGTATCGAAAGGGGATGTCTCCTCACGCCAGATTTCGTCGAGGGACGTCAGCAAGACGAGCCCCCAGGCAAAGAGGCTGGACGCGTACCTGAAGGAGATCCTGAGTGCGTTCAATCCTCCCCGTCTCCCTTCAACAGCTGACATCCTCTAGTTGACGTGAAATACGTAACTCCACACGAGGTCGTGGCGGCCGAATATCATGGCGCTCGACACCAATTCCGAATATTTTTACCAGACGATTTGGACGGCGTGTCAGCGCTCGAGAGCAAGCTGAACGGACTCTCACTTCGCACTTCCGCGCAGTCATCGAGCATACGACTAGTGGGATGGGACACCGAAGTAATTCTCTCGGACGCCTCAACAACACCGTCCCCCCTGTTTACCACGACTGCGGCTGACTCAGTTACTGTAAGATATGGTGACATCATTGCTATCCGCCATCCAGTCTAACAGGGGCACAGGCACACTCGATCAGTACCAAAGCTGTCGATCAAGGGGTACCGGAGGAGGTTTACATGTCTGTCGGCGGTCTTGATCGACAGATTGCCGAGATACGCAACCTCATTGAACTTCCTCTCCAACGGCCCGACCTCTTCCTACGCTTTGGTAAGAGGATGTCAGCGATTAAGGAATACCCGAGTCTGACTTGGGCTAGGGCTGAAACCGCCGAAAGGCGTGTTGCTGCATGGCCCACCTGGCACCGGCAAGACGCGTCTAGCTCACGCTGTCGCGACTTCAACGCGATCCTCCCTCATTCTCATCCACGGACCCGAGCTTTCGTCGGCGTACCATGGCGAGACAGAAGCAGCGCTGCGCCAGGTCTTCGAGCGGGCTAGAAAGCAGAGTCCAAGCGTGATCGTCCTCGATGAGCTAGACGCCCTCTGTCCCAGGCGGGAGGAGGGTTCAGGGGAGGTCGAGAAGCGGGTGGTGGCAACCCTGTTGACGTTGATGGATGGGATGGCGGAAGATGGTCGGGATGGGAGGGTCATCGTTATGGGGACAACCAATCGCGTGAATGCGATTGATCCTGCTCTGCGCAGACCAGGGAGATTCGACAGGGAGATAGAGATCGGTGCGTAAACTAGACGTGCAGGAATGCTGGATGCTGAGACTTCCGCAGGCATACCCGACGCGGCAGCACGACTGGCCATCTTGCGCGTCCTCCTTTCCAGAATCCCTCATTCGTTAGATAACGGTGCTCTGAAAGCGCTGGCGGATCGAACACACGGCTATGTCGGTGCAGATCTGGCAGCGCTCGTTCGTGATGCTGGGACTTTGGCCATTCATCGCTGGCTCGAGTCTTCCTCCACCGCATCCATCGAAATGACTGCCGAGCTGACACTGTCGGATCTCCTGGACGCACTCCCCGGCATCCGTCCGTCCGCGATGCGCGAAGTATTCATCGAGACGCCATCCGTGCGTTGGTCGGACATCGGCGGGCAGCAGCTAGTCAAGGAGAAGCTGAAGGAATGCGTGGAATGGCCGCTCCTGTATCCGGAGACTTTCGAGCGACTTGGCGTTGCTCCACCTAAAGGCGTGCTGCTATACGGCCCACCCGGATGTAGCAAGACGCTCACAGCCAAGGCGCTGGCCACTGAGAGTGGCATCAACTTCCTGGCTGTCAAAGGTCCAGAGGTGCGGTTGCCCAGCCATGCCTGGAAATGCTGGCCTAACGCTACTGTAGCTCCTGAACAAGTTTGTCGGTGAATCCGAGCGAGCCATCCGAGAAATCTTTCGCAAAGCTCGGGCTGCGGCTCCGTCTATCATCTTCTTCGTGAGTCGTAATGTCGTCGAGTACTTTCGGCGTGGCTCACACTCGACCAGGACGAGATCGACGCTCTTGGCAGCAGCCGAACGTCGGGTGACTCGGCAGGGAGTTCTCACGAAGGCATGCTCACTACACTTCTGAACGAGATGGACGGTATTCAGGAGCTTGTGGGGGTGACCATTGTTGCGGCCACGAACCGGCCAGACGTGATTGTAAGGACATCGAAGCCCATTGATCTGACAGGATTCTCACTGCGTTCGCAGGACGCTGCGTTGATGCGCCCTGGACGACTGGATCGAATCTTGTATGTTGGCCCGCCGGACTTGGACGCCCGTCACGAGATCTTGAAGATTCGAACGGCGAAGATGGCTGTGGAGCCTGGCCTAGACTTGCATGACCTGGCAGTGAAGGTCCGTCCCCTATCAGAACCGAAGACGGCATTTCTCATGACTCTAATCCAGACCACTGGCTGCTCCGGTGCCGAAATCGTCGGCCTGTGCCAGGACGCTGCGCTGTCCGCGATGAAGGAGGACATCCAGGCTCCATTTGTGCGTGGGTTGTCCAGGTCCCACCATCACTCACTCACTCATGCGCCGCAGGTTGGGATCAAGCATTTCAGCGAAGCTGTGAGGAATGTCAGAAGAGGCATCACGCCCGAGATGGTAGAGCGCTATGACGTCTGGAGCGAGACGAGTGGAATTAGGAGAGCGTAGACGACACTTTTAGTTAACCTGATTCGTGCGAGTTTCGGCTCAGTGACTGGCCTTAGAGTCATATAGCCAACTCTCAGCTCAGAACTTTGTCGGCAAGATGGCCGAGCGGTCTAAGGCGCTACGTTCAGGTCGTAGTCTCGCAAGAGGCGTGGGTTCGAATCCCACTCTTGTCAGTACAAAACAACCTTTTGCATCCGTAAGCTTCCTCACCCTCGTTGAACTCCTTTATCAAGGAAAACAGTCTCTGGAAGGCTCGTTACCTTTTTCCGGATCCAACAGTAGTGTCTACTTCATCGTCCGGGGCCCACTTTGCTGGACCAAAACTTGGCTCATAAACAAGACGAGTGCGGTGGCAGTGCTGCCAACTGCCTCCGATCGGAGCACCGTGAGCCAGCCATGAAGCTGGGAAGTGGAAGCTAGTTGATGAGTGTACGGTCTCCGTACGTGAACTCCCGTCAATCGTCCGATTTCGCCCCAGTCCTCTCGACAGCCGGCACCTTCCGCGTGCACGTGCATGTGCACGCGCAAAGGCGCTCTGGAAGCGAGATTCGGAGGTGCGGAGCAGGGGAAGGGGAAGGGGATGGGAAGGAAGGGTGGGGCGATGCGGTGCGCGCCTGGTTCCCACGGTACTTCCTCTGCACCGGCCTGCGACAAGCGATTGGATGTTCATTAGCGTATCAGTGCATCAGTGCATCAGTGCATCAGTATCTCGAGTTATCTCAATGTCCCAGTGCATGAGCGCATTTTCCATCAGCTTCAGGTACACAGGGCCGGCGGGAGCGCGCTCGCAGACTATGATAGAGGAGTACGTACTGTGCCTAGCATGGATGGACGCATCATGCAGGCCGTCTCTGGGAACGGGGACGGGGACTGATGTGCGTTGTGGACGGAGAAGAAGGGCGAAAAGAATGGGAGCAGGATGGCTCCCCGGGTACTGTGCGCGGGCGCTGACCAAGTGGGCGACCCGCACGCGAGGTGACGAGGGACTCGGGCTCGGCAGTCGACTGTGGGACGTACGTACATGCGTACTGTACAGTACGGCGCTGCGATGTGCTGGGGAGGACACGGTGCTGAGCGCCGAGCGCGGTTGGGACGGTTGACGGGCGGTGTAAATGATCTGATAGTTAGTAAACAAAAGGACGAGTTGGGGAGGCCGGGCATACGGAGCACCGGAGCACGGACTCGGACTCGGACTCGGACTCGGACTCGGATGCTGGATCCCAACGCGCACACCGGGAAGGAGAAAACAGGAAAACAGGACAAGAGGGAGAAAGCGCAAACAGCGAGAAGGGTTGGAGCTTCGCAGGCTAGGCTAGGTTAGGCTATTAAAAGCACTGCTCCGCTCCTGGGCCGCTTCTGGAGCTAGTTAAGAATAGAAAGGAAGGCGCCGACCGATGAGGGCGCGAAGGTGCGGGACGTGGCTAGAAACGCGGACGCGGAGGGACGGACGGGACGTGATGGAAGGGAAGGAAGGGATGTGACGCGCACGGGGCTGCACCTGGCGCGGCGGTTGCGACGCGGGAGCGGGAGCAGAGTGACACGCGGGCGGCTCCAGAGGGGACGAGCCTGTGCGCTTGGTGCTTGCTGCTTGGTGCTTGCTTGGTGCTTGCTTGGTGGTTGGGGGTACGAGTTATTCTGGGCACAGGCCGGCGTAACCTGGGGTTTGTTGGCAAACAAGCCAGCAGGCCAAGGGCCACGGGGGGGAAGGTTGCGTGCCCAGGGTGGAATGTGAGGAGGGACGCTAGCCCGGGGGGTGTATTGGAGGTGAGCGGAGGCGGAAAGTGGTCCCGGTGGATGCGGGGGATGGAACCATCGTTGCGAAGGGGTGTCTCGCATGCCGGCGCGTTGCAGGGCCACTCCCACTCGCAGTCCCGCACGCTTCGCCCCTTCTTTTCCATCCCTCACCCTCCCTGCTCCCCTCACACTGCTTCACCCTTCCTTCCCTTCCCCTCCTCCCTCCTCCCCTCCTCCGACACGCAGCCCCGCTGTGCTCTCTTGTAACGCCTCGCCTCGCCTCGCCTCGCCTGCTCCCTGCTACTCCGACTCGGACTCCGACTCGCTGCTCCCACCCCCGAGCCGCGTCAACGCTCTTTAAAGCAC